ATATATGCGTAAAGATTTAAACGTAGGCCATATTCCTGAATGCCTTCTATTTGTCACTCACAGCTATCGATTCAACCCGACCACCTCGCTACCAGAGTGGTATGTGCCCTATTCGCTAGAAGAAGACAAACGCCGTTGGAGCTCCAGGTGACCCGCAACTACGCAGATAGCGCACTTGCATTCATAAACTTCGGTACATAAAGTAACTTCAAGCTAAATCTCAAACAGTACCATCTTTGAATTAGATGAGTTTGCACGAATTCGTATTGATGTTGCTATGACAACATAAGACGGGACGCGCCAAATGCAGTTCACCTCTGGAGACAAATACTATTGGCGTGGGTGCTCCTACAATGGTCTCACGGTCACATACGCATATCAAAAATCAAAAACGTGGCCAGCTGGGAAAAGAAACCTCATGTATATATTATATATATATATATGTGTGTATATATATATATATATGTATGTATGTATGCATGTATGTATGTATGTACGTATATATATATATATATAAATATATAGCTTTAAGCACTGTGATTATATGTCCGCATGGCGTATTCTGGCGAGCCTATTTCACGTTCGTGGATGAAGGACCACCATAAAAACAGACTACCTTATATTTTAATGTTATGACTTATGACACTCAACTTCGGTCTTCGTTGGGAATAGATAGTTATCAAGAGTAGGAGATTTAGACTGGGAAAACAACAAATATCGAGTTGACAGCTGAGCTGGTATGGGGTCGCGACATGTCGTCTAAATGTCGGATGACAATCCATAATATTTTTTTAGTGAGTCTATTCTGGTCCGTTCTAAAAATTAATGTGAGGTGCAAATCACGTTTTCATTCCAAAATACATACTTCCTTCCTGGTGGTTTTCTGATATTATCCACTTATTGACAAAAACTGGACTGTAAAGGGGAAAAAAAAGTACAGTGCGGATTTACATGTCGCGACCTCCAGTGTCGCGACATGTCGTCTGAAAATAGAGCGACAAGACGGAAAGACGTGTCGTTTGCCAGCTCAGGTTGATAGGGCCTAAAGAAACCCCTGGTTCTGTAATTTCTGAAAGGTTTTTTTTTTTAAACAGTAAACACTAAACACACTAAACCAGATATGCTCTCTCTAGTAGTCTCTACTACATACTACTAGTCTACTAGACTACTAGAAAATAGTAGAATGCAAATAATCCGGTTTTGCTCCCTAATCTAGAGATAGCAGAGGTAAACTTTCGCTTGAAGTTTGGAACTTGAATTGGAAGTTGGGAGTTGGTCAGTTGGGAGTTGAGAGTTTGAACAAAATTCAAAGGTCAAGAATTCAAGATGGAGCATTGGGCCTGGTGTCAAAGACGTCGAGCAGTCGAGGCCTCAGCCCTCAGGCCTGTCGTCCGAGTCGACGACTCAACGACATCCTGAGCATTTTGAGTTTTCACACTTAACACTAGACATTTGACAGGTGGACAGCCTGAGGCCCTGGCGCCTGGCGGGCCTGTCCCCTGGGCCTGAGTCCTGAGGGCACTGGCTTTCAGATTGAGCCAGCGAGAGAGAGCCTAAATAGAGACTAAGCACTGAGCTATAGTCCCTACAGAGCTATTAGTAGTGGAGAGGGCACAGGCCTCAGGGTCCAGGCCCAGGGACCCAGAACCGGGGGGGAAGAGAATCTAAACTCTAAGGCTCGAGGGAGCCATGAGCCGTCAGGAATTTAGCATTAGCACACCAGTGTCCACGCACGTTACGCACGTTATGTACTGAGTACTGAGTGATGAGTCTATGACGCACGACAAAACTCAAGCATGTTTGTTACTTTATTTATCATTTATTCGACCACGAACCAATGACACTTCAAGAAAACAATCTGGCATGCTCTGAGAGAAAAGTATAGTGTACGATAAAAACTTAAAATAGATGAATTTGAAATATGTTATAAAAAATAAATCTATAAATACCTATTTAATTCTATTCAATTCCAATTGGTAAAGAATATACCTATACAATAAACAAAAAGCATCTACGGTATTTATGAAAAACAGATCTTTTACTCTTACAAACTATTTTTATTCCTAGGCATGATTACCATTGCTCATTGGCACATTGTTGCACGTCTGATACTCTGATGACTCTCTCAGTCTCTAAACTCTTTCTTTCTCTACTAGTAGTAAACTACTAGTCATGTAGAGTTGTAACTTGCAGGAGAGAGTAGAGTACATAGAGCCCTGCGGCGGTGCTGCGCCTGCCGGCTGCCGCCCTGCAACAAGCTATGTAGTATGTACATTGTATAGGGCCAGGCTTACAGCAGCCTCTGATCCAGTGATCACTGAAGTGATAAGTGATCTGGCAATTATTGCCCAATTTGACAATTTGGCAATTCGCCATGAAACTCTGAACAAATCTTGAGTCTGGGGCGGCAGTGCGTGAGTGCGGCACTGTGTACTAAACAGTAAACAGTAAACAATAAACACATACAGACTCACAGTCTACACAGACTCGAAATTTATTCTCAAACGTTCCAAACTTTTCCGCTGGAGCGGGACATGCTGGACTCTGGACTCTGGAGTCTCTGGAGGGAGTTGTGGAGAAGCGGAGGCAAATCAGCAGGAGTAAATGTATTGATTTAAAAATAAAATTAATGACTTATTTTCGTTTTTGCCTTTTTAGGCCTCGCTTTTTTCTTCCACGGTACACTAAAAGCTCAATACGTTTTGCCTATATGCGATAAATTTTAAACGTAAACGCAAAAAGTTTTGTTTTTAAAGCGTTAAAATTCCAAATTCGCGCCTGAGAAATTGACCTTTCGTTAAATAACAGGGCCACGAAATGCATAATATCCAATGAAAAAGCGATTTGAAAGGATTCACAACTGACACAAAGTGAAAAATAGGACAATTCGTGACGGTTAGGGCGTCTCAAAGTAAAATATAGGATAAACTTTTAACGTAAACGCTTTTATAGTTTAACGGGAAACGGAATGAGGTTAGACAGCACATATGAAAGATAAATAAATATCATCTTGAAGTTGGATTCTCTACAGCTGTCGTGAACTTTTTGTTTTTGGGGGTTTTTTTTAAACAAAACAAAACGTAAAGTTCTAGAAATCACAGGATCCAGTCCCAAATATTAAATATATGCACACTGCACAGTAGATACATAATGTGGTTCTGTACGGACACACTACACAGTACACAATGACAAGCACAGATTCCTTGAATTCTTTAGATTCTCTGCGGCTGTCACTATATTATAAATTTTTACGTAAACTTCTTGAAATCCCAGAATTCAGTCCCAAATATACAATCTGGACACACTTCACAGTACATGATGAGGTTCGGGCACACTCAATGTCAAGCACAGATGCCTTGAATCCTTAAATTTGTATTAGTTATTTGAAACGTGTCCGTCGCCATGGAACAAATATGCGCGATTTAAAAAGTATGTGATGGAGCAAAACATAAACGCTAGAACGTGACTGGTACTGTACACATAAATAACTCAAACTTCTGATCTCGCACAGATTATGCAAGTGAATAGCACTCAGCGAAATACCCAAAAATTGTATAAAAGCTTCTTCGTACAACATGTTTCCAGTATCACTTCTGACAGTGTAAAGTTTCAACATGTTCCGTATTGGATTGACCTTTCTGTTTGCCGTGTCCGTTTTTGGTATCACTGTGGCTGAACCCGGCCTGATAGCCAGACGAGAGTATGACGCGTGTGAGTGGTACGACTATAATGGCTGCTGTCCAGAAACCCATTGCAAGAAAAACTGGTTGAACGATGGAGAATGCGATGCCGGGTGTATGTCGCCCTTCTGTGATTATGATTCCGGGGATTGTGACCACATGTCAGAGGCTCAATTGGTAGCATTGATGACGAAGAGTGCTGGACAATTAGTGTGTAGCTATATTTCGAACAAGGTGGTCACTACAATTTTGTCGTTCGTCACCGGAGGCGCATATTTGACTCTGACGGGTATATGTAAAGCAGCAGAAGCGACTGTTTTTTCCACCAATCGTGATCGGCGTTCCACAATAGATTCTGTACATCCCGAACGCCTTTTGGAACAGCTAAAACTTGGTATTGAGCAGGCCAACTGTTATGAATCTTCCCAAAGTACCCCTGCTTGTGTTTCTCGACAAATTGCAAGCTATGTGCACGACAAGATGAACATCATTCAGCCAGCGTTTCTTAATAATCGCACATTTTTCAACGATGCCGTTTTTCAACTGCAGCAACAATCAATGGATGCATCAATCTACGATCCATTTTTGAACTGCATTGACGAGAATTCAATGAGAGAATGTATTGATACTGGCTTGGCAGCAATTATCAACTCGGAATAGTTATTCGCCTCTTTCTAAATTAAAAAAAAAATGATATTATAGTTTTTAGTCTTGCATGGATTTGCAATCTTGGTTCAAATCCCGTGTGCTCAAATACGAATCTTTGATATATCATACTTTACACCCTTTTTTTTTGCCTCGTATCATGTTAGCGATCTTGATATGTCCGGACAGGATCCGCCTAATGTACGAGAGCATAAGTTTGTAGCGGACACGGGTTCAAAACCGCGGGCGAGAACATTTTTTTGCGATAGGTTTATCAATGTATCACACTTGGCCGTGGTGATCCGTGCAAGGGCATCATCAATATATGCCTGTGCTCGCGGCCCATGTTAATCGCTAACGATGACATCGTACAATGTCGATCATCACTCTGTACCATTCATGTCCTGACCACTATTTTTCGATTTCCGATTCCTACGCCCTCTAGATCGTTCTCCCCTATTCTCGCCACACGCAATGGACATATTCAACAGGCGCCACCTATTTGTATTTTTATCTTCATGAAACTTACTGCTAGAATGTGTACCAGCAGTAGTAATGAAAAGAAGGTGCGCTTCAAGTTTGAACTTGTTCAAAGTATAATGTTTATATATTGGGATAGTATATATATCGATGTATACATGAAAGCTGTGTGTCTTTTACTTTCCCAGCACACAAAACAGTGTACGGAAATAATAAATTACTCTAATTATAGACAACTGCATAGTATTATAGGTAATACACTATCGGTGGAACGTTGGCAGCCATGTCCGAACACGAGCAGAAATGTGCTATATCCGCAACTTAGACGACGACTCAAGATGTTTTGCAGTTTTTATTTTACAATTTATGCTGTCAGTGTATTAGCAATTGTCAGAGTCTCTCAGCCGGTTACACAGCCCAAGTTAAGGGACACTTTTAGACAAAGTACCACTAGTGTGGGGAATGAAATTCGACGAAGCTGCACAAAAAAAAGAAAAGATAGCGAATGTATATAATGAACAAATAATGATAAGCAAATGGTTCGTGTTTCGACAACAACTGTCGAAACAACTACACGGAAACACAAAAACTATCCGCGGGCTTAATATGGCCATATCAACGGTCATATTTTGTTGGTTGTCTCTTTAATAGTAGTGGAGCACTACAAGCGTAGAGAATAGTTTTCTACGGAAGAAATTTCGTCACCATGCCGGTTAGTTATATGACTGGCTGTAATATCCAAGGGAACTCGTGCCTAATAATATACAGCTTTAGCGTAGTGTTGATATTATCGCAATCTACAATTGCTGTGTGCTAAATTAATTGATGGTACGGTATATTCGGAAATCATTGCCGACTTGGTCTGACGGTGCCAGGTGTTGCAGTGTGAAGCTTTCAATAATTTGGACATCAATTGTATAAGATGCTTCTGTGTTTGAGGTAGCATCCTATCACATCGCGAAATAAGAGCAGTGATGTAATGTCGATCATTGTCAAGGTAGCTTGGTATTTCACTACTAAATAAACTGTTAGTTGCAGGATTTAAGTTTGTGAGATCCTGCAAAACGATGGGTATCACAACCTGCAAGGTTCCGTCCGCATTTGTTTCCCATATAAATCGATCTGCGGTGACACCAGGTAGCCTAACACTGACTTACTGTGTTGTAGATATACGTTACTATTTCTTGATTCATACAAAATTGCCCAATTTAGCCCTGAATATAGCCAGCCATCGCCTTCGGAATAGTAGGATTCTTCTGGAAGTCTTTCAATAATTGGTTGGTCACGCGCTCGAAAGTACCTATGAGCACAGTTGCGGCTGTCTTCTTGAGAATTAACGTTTTCCGTCTTTTGACCTTAGATGTGAATACCTTGCAAGCGTGTACAATTCAATCTGAAGTAGAGTTTTCACGGAAGTACGATATTAGTTTACGTACTCCTGCTGTTTTCACTGCTGCAGTGGGAGTTGCCCTATAGGTTCTTCAGTAGATGTGAGATGGGGCTACGTGACACATATTACTTGACAGTGAATAGCCTACCGCCTGGTATCCAAACTATACCAACTCACTAGAGCAACGTTCATTACTTACTATCTACTAGTTTCCTCGAAAGTACTGTCGAGGATTCGGTCACAAAGCATACTGTGTCTGCTGTGCAAGACCTTGTTTGGGTTCCTTTCCAAGCACTGTTTCAGATCATGTGAGGATCGCGTGCTATTACGGATGTATTTTGATTGTAGATAGCAGGCCTTGCATTGTTTCTAAAAATACACCAATGTATACAATATCCAAGTATACCGCACTAGTAGTATTGCAGTCGCTGGAACCATACAAATTCTTCAGTAGCCCATTTTGAAGTGATACGTATGATTGATGTTTCTGTGTATATATTGAGATTATATGTGTTGTACAACGTATCGCAGTGTACCTGGTTTGTGCGGACACATGGCATACGTATATGCCCGCACGCTCAGAAGTACGTGTACACGACCATGTGCATGACAATTGCTTGCAAAGTACGTCTGCGAATTGGAGCGAGAGGATCAAGATTCGAACACCAATAATGTATTTTAAAAATTGAAAGCATGGATTTAGATCTAGATGTAGATTAAGTTACACGGTAAATTAGGCGCGAGAGTATGAAACAAACTATTCCTTACGGAGATTGAGAAGTAGTACATAGAACACATCTCAAAGAAATAACGTATATATACATACATACATATATA